TCTCTTGAGACAATTACCAACCTGCTGTGAACTCTCAAACCAAACACCAGCTTCTCTGCACCAAACACAGCTCTCCTCTCAAAGGGAACAAAAATAGATTATTCAAGTGTCTGATCTGAGCGACTGTAGCCTAGGACCACAGACATTCCACGTGCAGATATGCTCATGAGCGTTTTATAGTTAGGGAACAAAAGAAAGTCATAAATCAAGGCAGTTCTCAAATACAGTCGTGGAGACTAGTAGATGGGCTCCAGCAAAGCCGGGAAACTCTGTCTTAGGTTTCAGGTGCTGTCTGACAGCATTCTTGGCTTTTGGGTTCGTGGGAGCTAGGAGTCTGTTAATGTATCCCAAGTGGTCTTATCTGGTAATCAGGGTGGTATTAGATCAGACACAGAAGTAAGCAATCAATGGCTCTTGAGGGGCCTAAACATAGTACAAGACCATTTGACTCACGGCCTGCAGTGTTCCAGCCAGCTCAACAGGAGTTCTAATCAATCAGCCTTGTGGACTCTTTAAACACAGGTGCTGGGTGTTCCTGGGATTTTCACATCATGGTACTAGAACTGGAACCCAAGACCTTGAGTGCATTAGATGAGTGGCTTACCACCGAAGTATTCTAGCTCTCCCCAGTCACAGTGTAGACCCCTTCCCACAGATGTTGCATTGTTCTGAGAACAGCACATTACACACAGACTGTACACCATATGTATGCTCCCTATTTCAGTAAGGGACACTTAGGGTCATTAATCCTTTGAGAAGCCCCTGTTAATCTTCAAGAGAGCATGCAAATTTGTATTGTGTATATAGTTGCAACAGAGGTACAAATTGAATTATCATTCATTTTTTTGAAAATGTACTATGAGGAAGTATGTGCACAGGGCATAAAAGTTCCTTTTCCATTGGTAACGATTGTTAGTCCAGCTTCCTGAAGAAGCAGTGTAGATGCCTGGCCAATTTAACTGGTAAAGGGAAGTATCACACAATGGTCTAGGATGGCGGCTTTAATTTTTGGCAGATTGTTTGCATGGGAAATTAGAGATCATCAGAAACTGTGTCTTAGGAAAGAGTTACGTCCGAGGTAGCACTGTGCGCTAGTTAGTTGGAGAATGGAAGGAACGCAGAACTCCTAAGGCACCATTGGCTTTCCATCCACTCACCATAGACTAAGTTTGGAAGAATTGAGGCAGAGGGCAGCGAACTCCCATGGGGGAGAAGATGAAGCTGTTTCCCAGGCCCTTGGCTGACTAAAGAAATCCAAATGAGTCCTTGAGACCGGCTAGCTACAATGCTATACAAATTGTGTGTTTTCCTGCTTTACCTGCAACCATTACATGAAGAAACAATGTAATAGAAAGTTCTGAAGAGTTTAAATTAGAATGAAGTTTTATGGAGCAGTACTAAAAATGATGCATTTTATTTAGTGGAAAACCAGCAGTGGTGGCACACACCCTTAATTCCAGCCCTCAGGAGGTAGAGGCAAGCGGATCTCTGTGAGTTCGAGACCAGCCTGCTCTAAAGAGTGAGTTCCAGGACAGCCAGGGATACACAGATAGCTCTGTCTCAAATTCACCCACCCACCCAAAAAAGAAAGAAAGGGAAAAGTGGATCCAATAATATGCTCCTTAGAGTTTATTACATGCAAGTTCTCATGGATTCGCTTCTGCTGTGGCACACGCCTTAGGGGTTTACAACCTAGCTTTAAATACCCATTTCAAGAAAAATTTGAGCTTCTCCCTCCCTCCCTCCTTCCATCCCTCTGTCTGTCTCTCTCCCTCCCAATCTTCCTGCATCAGATAATCATATTTTAAATAAACATACAGAGAAAGTCTATAAATCCACTCTCTGGCACCTGACAACCTCCGTAAATGGAAATCTTGGGGAACCCATCTTATCAGACAGCAGTAACTGTCATACCACAGCAGAGGCAGACAGCAGGTGCTGCCCGTTCCTGGATGCCAATATATTTGGCTAGTTTTGTTCTTAATACTTGATGGCCTTGTTTCTTCAGCTCATCTTGGAAAGTCCAGGAGTTTAGCTCCAGGCTCAGAGGACAAGCCAAGCGACTAACAGACAAGAGTGAGTGGAGATCAGGTGTAAGTGAATGTTGGATACAGAAGTCAACCCACTAACAGTGAAAATGCAAAAGTGAGCCCAACAGCTTCATCATTGGTAGAGGCAGGAAGATCCTGAAAGTTCAGTAAATCTGTGTAACAATACAGTACAATATTAATTGTTTCTAGTCAGGACTCAGCATTGTAAACAAATCAAATTGCACCTTGTATTTGGAACATGGAGAAAAGCATGGAAGGCCATCTCCAAAATGGCCTAGGTAAGCCTTTGCACACCAGACTTCAATTCCAGTGATCCGGAAAATGAACTTGTATGGAATGCTTCCTTTTCTGATTACACCAAGAGTAAGGAATAATTGTTTGTGTCTTTTGTTATTTCTATTGCATTAGTGTGCTCTAAACCTCCAACTCTTGAGAAATCCTCTGTAGGAAAATATTAGCGCTTCTCTCCCTCTCTAGATCTCTATGTGAGCCTCACTGGATGGAAAGGTCATCACTGAGATGTGTTTCCACATATGCTACAATGGGTGCACTCCTAGGTCAGGAGAGAAAAAGCCATGAGCCACACATACTATGATGGATGCACTCCAGAGAAAACAGAGAAAAAGCTATGTGTGGTCACATCAACTCTAGTACCAGAGAATTAAACAACCAGTTAACCCAAATATCTCTTTATAGAAAGTTAGTTTCTGAAGGTCCTTTGAGCACACATAGTCTGATAAGCCAGTATTAAGCGATATTAGTCAGAAAGATAATCTTAGTAGAATAGAGTGTTTGGGTGTGCCTAGAAGATAGGGTGTTTTAGAGTCGTATGTTCAACTGGAGTCTTTGTAGAAGCCAAGAATCTAGATGGGACCATTGGGTGGGCGATACCTTGAGAGAATGGGTTTAGTAGAACACAGGTGAGATTGAAGTGGACTGAAGACCGCGGGGGTTGTAAAGGTTCAGTCAGGGATGGGGATAGGTCGCTAGCAGATGGGGGAAAAGCAGATGGGGTGTTGTGCAGTACTTAGAGTGGGCTAACTAGAGCAAAGGAGCTATGAAAAACACTTTTTAACAAAGCATAATTTGAAAACCAGTTTAAAAATAATAGAGAAGTCTAGGAGTTATTCTATATAGCTGAATAATGCTACTCTCGTTAACAAAAACTCCAGTGCCAAATGTGAGGCACATACTTTGAGTTATTGGTTAGGAAGGCCACAGAGACCTGCAAAACAATGCAGGCTTTCTTGATTCTTCTTGGTTGACTATCACGATGAGCTAGATAAGAGAACTCTTGCTGAGGAGCCAACACACCTTGGTTGTAAGATATATTAAAATTGAGTTAGAACTGAACTGTAAGTTTTCTCTCCATGTGGGCAACTTTCAGGCTGCCAGAAGGTACTGGGCAGGCTGCTGAGAAGAAAAGACATCAGCTATCATACCTAATTCTGAACCCTACAAACTACAAACAGTGAAAACCTGCCAAGTAAAGTCTACCTACTAGGGCAATAATGGCACAGCCATCCTGGTAGTAACCAGCATCTCCTAGACTGGAGTTGAGGCCCACTCCACAACAGGGAACACATACCTGCCTGGAGAAGTCTTAGGCCCTAAGGGGGCACACACACTGTTGTTTCGCAGTTAAAGCAGTAGATAACTATTACTCTCTCATCCTTAATCAGAGAAACTTCTCCCAGTAATGAAGGGTGGTGAATGCAGTAACAGTTGAGTGGTCAGTCCTAATTAGGACAATTATACCACCCTCTCTAGGGCTCAGGGGAAAGTCACAGAAGAAGAGTTAGAAAAATGGAAGGACCATGAAATGCTATCTTCGAGGTATAATAAAGCTATTGAGAAAAGAAAAAAAAAATACTGGTTGCTTAACACTGGGCTACAAAGGACTAAGCCTGACAGCAGCTAATCCCAGATAAGGGAGGGTTTCATGGGACCCTGCCCTACCGTCTGAATTATTGGCTGCTAATGAATTCTGAGGGAGGGACGATCATTGTTCGCTGTTGTATATCCAACAGTGTGAGCTCCAGGCTCCAATGAATAGTTCCAAACCTGTAATAACACAGATCATCCTGATTAAAATCAGTGGATCACAAAAAAAAAAAAACAAAGAAATTGTTTAATAAATTAATAAAACCTGTCCTTGGGATACTGGTATGGGAGATAGTGGGGAAATTATCAGAATTTGATTATAAACAGATTCTGGTCTGATGAGAGAGAGTGCAGACAGGAAAAGTCTGACACAGACCAAAGGAAGGTTCAGGAAGGACGAAACGACCTTGCTGACTCTTGAGTCGACCCATTGCTGTCTGACTGGCGTGGTCTCCTGCTATGCATACACTTCTTCTCTTATTGGAAAGAGATTCTTTTTCATACACTGTATTCTGATTACAGTTTCTCTCCCCCGGTCCTCCCAAATCCTTGCCACTTCCCCACTCACCCAAATCTGCAAACTCTCTCTCTGAGTACAAGCAAGCATCTAAAAAACTAATAATAAAATAAAAACAAACCTAAATTGGACAAAATAAACATGGGGGGGGTCAAAGAAAAAGCACATGAAACGGATACAGCTGCTGAGATGTTCACATTTACGAACACAAAAAACACATAAAAACAAAAGCATGAACCATAACGTGTAAGCAAAAGATCTATGAAGTTTAAGAAAATGTCCATAAAGCCTTGTGAGACAAAAACTTTCAAAGTCCCCCGAGTTCGTGTTGTGTTGGCCACCTACTGCTGGTTCGACTCCCCAGTGAGACTCCCTCGGAGAGACCTGATTTAGACTTCGAGTTTCAATGTCGAGACAAGGACAAAGAAGTTTGAAGTATGAGCAACTTTCATACATGACCTTTGCCCTCTTATACTCTCACTCAGACTGACATTTCTCAGTGACTAACTGCAAATATTAAAGATCATCAATCTTTTTAAAATTTGCAGAAAGAAATTCTGGACCAGCAACAGCGGGAGCGGAATGATACAAGCTTTCATGGCGCGTGCATGTTTTGCGCTGAGGAATTCCGTGGAAACAGGTTCGCTGTTCTTTAACATTCAGAAACGCTTTGGGCCAATCTGTCATCTCTGCCCTTTACTAAAGGATTTTTTTAACTTGGATTAGAGCAGACCTCAGCCCTGCATCAAATCATAACTCATCTTAGCCTTTGTTTTGTGGTCTGCTTGGGTCTTTCCTGGGTACTCATACAGCCTTACATTTGCATATGGTCTTCAAAAACCCCAGGTCTATCCTAACTTCTCCAAGACTTCACAACATCTCACTCCCCAGATTGTCTGAGGTGTTTTATCTTGGATAGTATTTGCCATAACTGAGACTTTCCTCAAGCGGCTACAGGATTTAAAAGAAAAACAGGCCGTTGATGATTTGGGACAGATGCTCAGATGGCGCGACTTTGCTCTCTAAGTCGGTGGAGAGCTTGGGCAGCACCTGCCGGGCAGGGTTGGCGGTGACACTCCCGAGGGATGTCCCCTCCCATGCTGCTCCTCAGGTGGTGGTGAGGTTGCTGAGGAGAAAGGTCGAGGGGTCTGCAGAGGGAAAGGGAGGAGGTTAGTAAAGACACCTCTAAGTTCACAGTTCTGCTATAGTTGACTCATCTTTCTTAAACAAGTACACTCTGGATTCTTATGAATTTCTAGTTGGATAGAACTAAGTTGTTTGGTCCTTAGTGCTGTCAGGGAGGGGCAGCTGTGCAGAACTCATGCCGTCTTTCCTGGGGGGGGGGGGGAGCTTAACCTCATTTGTCCAAACCACAGATTGGGGGGAAAAAAGACCTGACAACATATGAGATGAAACTAGGAATGAAGATGGAAGGAGACAGAGAGCTGCATTTCTAAAGTGAAACTTCAATTCTTTCTAGAATGTTTTAATTATATAGTCATAACTATTACATGTCTTTAAGTACCATTGTAAATATGGGAAAATATAATAATTGTGAAAGCCAGACGTTTCTCCATAGCTTCTTGAAGTAAGGCTGTATGATTAATGATAAAATTAACGTTATAAAGAAGGAAAGAAGTTGAACTACTAAAGTTGTTGTGCATTTAATTTCCTGGAAACTAAAGTTAATTGATGAAAAGCTAATTTAAAGTAGTGATTTTGGTGAATCATCTTGGCTGGTCTTAAAGAACCTCAGAATCGGGGAGCTAAAGCAGACGGTGCCATCTTCAACCAGACGGCAGAGACACCCCTGCCCTTGCCAGCTTGCTGCTGTGCCCAGAAAAATGAGTGCAGTGCATCCTGGCCTGCCTTGGCCTTCCTGTGTCGAGCTTATAGGATGAATCACCCTATTTGGAATTAGTTAGTAAACCACTTAGGTATCAATAGGATATATTAAAGAATATGATCATAGGCCTTGGCTCATACAATTAGGAGGAGGTCGAAAGCTCCACAGATACACCTTTTGCAATATGGGGATCCCAGAAAACTAGTGACGAACTTCGTCCCAATCTGAAGGACTGGGAACCCCAAGTACCAGTGATAGTGATATCTCAGAGTGTTAAGGACAGAAGATAAATATATGTCCATCTCCCTCTCCCAGCCCTTAATGGGCTATCCCGCTCGCTCTGGTGAGAGGACTTGTCTATATTCACTGTTCTTATGTATGTACAGTCTCTTCTAGAAACATCCTCACAAATACACCCACACACAGTGCCTTGCTAGCTACAAAGCCTTTCCTTAAGTAGACAAGTTGACACATAAATTGGCCATCATGGTAATGGAGAACCAAGCCCCTTCTAGATGGCTCTTCCTATATCTAGTGTCCATTCAATGCCTGAATGTCAAGTCCTCAGGAAGTCTTGGTCAAGTTGGGCTACTTCTAGGTAACCCACTAAAAACTAGAAGGACATCAGTCTGATCCCCATCCCAGAGCCCAGGGCCAAGTGAAGACCCTTAGCTCCATAATAACCTCTCTTCATAACATCTGTAGCTACTCTGCCTCCCATATTTTAAGTGGGCATGGAAACGTTCGGAAGACAGCAGGGAGGTGAGGCAGGAAACTTTTTGAACTTTCTGAGCCTTCATAGTAGAGCTCGCACTGTGTGATAAACCTCATGCCCTCGCTCTCAATGTCTAGATGCCTGTCCAGCAGGCCCCAGAGAGTCAAAGTAGGACTAAGCCTCCAGCACACATTCATAGTGAACTGCAAAAGCTAGAACCAGGGGGAAGCATCCCAGTACATTTGCAGCTCGTCAGCCATCTGCTGGATCTGTGTCATTTCAAAGCTTTTGTGTGTCTAAATGCCTGCTCAGGCCTGCTACTCTTAGAAAAGGCCTTACAGTCAGGATGGCACGGGGCTTGCTGCATTGGAACCTATAAACTGGTCCTGAGAACAGTGCTACCCCAGCTCCCCTGAGTCAACTCTCTTAGGCCTCTGTTCACAGGGACTTGGGATGCCTCTTATCTCACACACTCCTTCAACCGGCCATTGGTGTTGGTTCCATCTACCAGACCTTAGACTCTAGGCCTTTAATCTGCAGAGCCTGAGGGAGGATTGGGCTCCCATGAGTACATTCAGTACAACACATATCAACCAGAGACCTTGGTTCCCTAACTTGGAGGAGTGGAAAAGCTGCCAACTCATCTACCTTGAGCCAGCTGCTGGGAACGGTAGTGGGAAAGGGGAAGTTGAGCAGTATGTCTACGTCATATTCAAATAGCAGTAAGAGGTCTGGTGTGCAGCGGTTGTGCAGTAGGGTGACTATACCTAGTGCTAATGTGTTGTATATCACAAAAAGCTAAAGAACAGCATTTGAATGATGCACCTTAGAGCAAATATAACTTAAGCACTATACAATATCTGTGTATCAAAATGCTATACTGTAATCAGTAAACATGTACATCATTACATTTTTGCACATAAGTTAGAATAAATTTGAGTTTAGAAATCAAGTTTCTCTTTGTTAGAAGCTAGTCTGCAGGCTGATAATTGTGCTTCCAGGTTATCATGACCCTCGCAGGCAACATCTATACCAGTGGGTTCATAATCTGTCTGATGCTGTACTGGGCAAATGTCCAAAATCACATATCACAGACAAGGCCATCTTGCTGCTAGCCAGTTGCCTCTTTTCTTCTCCATTGTATTAGTCAAGATTTTCCAGAGGAACAGAACCAACATGTGTAATAAGAGAATGCATGAGAAGATTTATTAGTGGAATTGCCTCATGCCTTTACAGAAGCTGAGCAGTCCCACGGTTGTAGCAAGCTTTCTTGCTGGGCTATCTTTTGATTGCCAGACCCTAAATATCAACACGGAAACTTCTAGTTAATTACGAAAGCTTGACCATTAGCTTAGGCTTATCCCACTAGCTCTTATAACTTAAACTACCCTGTTTTTATTAACGTGCATTCTGCCACATGGCTCCGTTACCTCTACTCTGTGCCATATATCCAGCCTCTTCAGTGTCTCCCTGGCGAATTGCTGAACTCTTCTTCCCAGAGTTCTCTCTCTCTCTGCGGAAAAATCCCGCCTATTCTCTCCTGCCTAGCTATTGACCATTCAGATCTTTATTAAACCAGTCACAATGACATGTCTTCACACTGTGCAAACAAATATTCCACAGCACACAGTAGACCATCTAAAAGTCAGAGACAGAAGTGCTCTGTGCAGAGCCACAAGGCTCAGAGTCAGAAGAGTTCAGAGTGTAACACATTTCAAGGCCTAAGGCCTGAGAGTTCTGGGACCACAGATGTAAGTGGGAGTCTCAAGGCCAAGGAGACTGGAATTACAGTGTCTGAGAGGTAGAAATTAATAGTATCTTAACCCCAGGAGACCACTGAGGGCAGGCTTCCTGCTTCTACACTCGCATGCACACCCGTCTTCTGGGAAAGCACCCTCACCACACACACCAAATGCTTTCCTTGTTCTCTAGTGTTCCTTATACCAGTAAAGTTCATGTCTAAAACTAACCATCATTCTCATGGTGAGTTGGGAAAACATCATTTATTTAGTAGATTACAGAACAGGACATGAGCTCCTACCAGGTCTGATCCTGGCAGTGTCAGAAAATGGACGTGTGTGTTTGCACATCATTTAAGTCTCGGTGTTTACGTCCATATTCAGTACTTGCTTATCCTCTGATTAGTCGTTGTTATATAAATGCTATTTCTAGCCTGATTCGCTCCTACATTATAAATTATAGAGATTGTTCATATTCCTTCATAGATCTGTTCTGTTGAACCACATGGCCAGAGAGCACGCTTTCAACATTGGCTTGCCAGACAACATTGTAAACTGCGCTGAATTCCTCCGCACATTACAGAAGAAACTGGACAAGTAGGTGCTCTTCCATGAAACACAGACTAAACCTAACTGAATCTTAGAAACTTCTGAATTTTTACAATTGATTTTAATAAAATTGATTTAATTTAGAATTAAAGAAGTAAAAGTTAATTGTTTATTGCATTGTGGGAATCTGCATCTTTTTGGTACTGTATGATTTTTTTGTCTAGATTATATTGCCTTCTAGTGAGTTTTTAACTTTTTTCATTAAAATACTTGAGTTATGCCAAATACCATGTAAGTTACATCATGAAAAATATCCTCACTGTGATCTATATTAGTTACTTTTCTCATTGCTGTGATCAAAATACCTGGCAAGTCACAACCCATGGGAGGGAGGGGAGTGTTGTTTTGGCATATAGTTCCCAGGGATGACAGCCATCGTGGCAGTGAAGGTATGGCTACAGAGACAAGAGCCAACTGATCACAGTGTTTACATTGGTCACAGTCTGGATACAGAACAATCCTTGCCACGGTTTCAACTGAACAGCCATATTTAGACCACTACAAAGGAAACCATACCCTGTTTTCTACAAAGCCAAATGGATAAAGGGAGGAAGAGATTCATGGAAGGACCGTATTACTTTTGTTTGTTTTGTGTAACCCAAGCAAATAAATGTTAAATTAAAAATAGGGTTCTTGTAGCAACTGTTGAAGATGTGTTTAACAATGTCTGTGTGTTTTAGTTTACAGTGTTTGTACTGTGAGAAGACCTTCAGAGACAAAAACACACTTAAAGATCACATGAGAAAAAAGCAGCATCGTAGAATCAACCCAAAGAACAGAGACTATGACCGATTTTATGTCATCAATTACTTGGTAAGTCATTCTTTTCATAGTTTAAAATTTGATTACAGTACTGGAAACAAAAGCTACCTACAGGCCAACTAGTGTCTGAATAATGAATGAATCGGTACAAAGGTTAAAAGGTAACGATAAGCGTTATCAGGAATTAGCAGTGGCTTCCAAAGCAACTATGACAGTTGTCTTTGGATTGGCAAATGTGTCTACAGTAAAGATGCTTTGTTCTCAAATGCAGTGTGATGGCAACTAGAACCATCCCCCACTCACAGTCTGGCAGCTCGAAGCCAGAGATTTGTGTGTTCTGTTTGTAAAAGCATTTCTTGAGCATCGGATGTGCTAGGTGCCACACAAGGTAACTCTACTCTTCTCCCATCTCTCCACTAGATGATCCACTGTTATCCTCAAAGTAAAGTGTGCATCTGTGTCATTGTCTGTGTCAGCTTCCTTTTAGGGGAAGTTTCAGAGAAGCAGTTCCATTTTAACTGGGCAAGAATTTTTCTTGTTTGTCTGGTGACCCATGACAACGACGTTAAATGCCTTAAAGTCCAAAGTCTCTAGTCTGGTTGCTACCTACTATTGATGACTTCTTTGAGGACAAGAAGAGATCTTCAGTTAGAGACAAAGTCACTAGGGTTATTTAAAATTCTGGGAGGGAGTTTTGAACTGACATCAGGGCTGGAAAATGCTACCAGTCTTGCCCTTAATATTTTTTATTGTATATAATGAAGTAGTCTGCCCATACCTAGAAGAAGATTAAGTAATTCTACAGAAAGATGAGAGTTTTGATTTTGATATTTTCTAAAGCAAGAATTATTTTGTTCTTGTTTTTATTTTTCCCCTCTCAGTATAAGTAACATTAAAATCCAAACCTGTTGCTTTGCAAGAACTGATTGACTATTATCCACCATTTTGTGTGTTGGATAGGAAGCAATATTCATGATCTGCGTTGGAAATCTCTGCACTAATGTGCACCTTTTATGTGTCTTAACTTAGTCATATAGTGTTAAACTGAAATTCTCCTCAAGAAGTAAGCTTAGCATGCATTTAAAGATTGACTCTGGGAACTTGCCAAGCTTTACTACAAATGTTTTACAGCCAGCCCAAGGCAAAGGCAGAGACACCCTCTGAGTCCTTCACTCTTCAAACCGTTCAGTCCTGACTTTCTAGAGCAAAGCTGCTGCAGGGCCCAGTCCGCTCCTACAGGGAGGGCACTCCAGCACTGGTTGGAGCATGCAGCTGCTCCAGCAAGCTAGGGAAGCAATTTAATAGTTCTTCCTTCCAGGGCCCTTTTGAACTAATATACAAGAGCTGTAAATTAGCAGACACTGGATAGCTGGAGTCTTTTCCTTGCAGGGAGACTTCAAAGGGTTCGCACACTCGTAGTCTATTGGCATTTTAGAAAGTGTGATACTTCAATCCCTGAGCATCAAATAGTGTGACTGGCTGTCAAGCTGAGATTGTTTATGAGTGCTAGCTGTCCCTAGGGGGACCATGATGGATTACACTAACCACAGATTTGCTGTAGCAACCCATGACTCAAGAGAGTACAATAGACTTAGTAAAGATGAAATGCGAGTGAAATCACAACTTGAGGGTAATATCGACTTAAGTCCCATTTTTAAAATAAGACAACGGACAGATGTTTCTGTGGGCCAGGCACTGCCATAGGTATTTATATACTAGGTCACTAACCGCATTTCCGGGACACAGGCATTAGCTTGAGGCCTTTTCTATAGACAGTGAGGCCCGGGCTTAGTGAGGCTAAGTCATTCGCACAGGTTCACAACACCAGGGCAGATCAGTTTATCACCACATCCATCCTCTTTCTTCACATAGAGATGATGCTGGTGCCTTCGTTGTACTCACAGAAGTGTTATGATTGTGATGGCCTGTTCCCTCTTGCCTTTTTTCTTGAAACAAACTCAAAAGTAAAGCTGGCTCTAATGTCTGCTTTACCTCCAACCATAGCATTTTTAGCCCAAGTATTGGAGTAAGTGGTTAATAAGTATGGAAACGATTAGGAAAAATTAGAGTGTATTCTGGTGCATTAGAATTTTTAAAAACTACAAAAATCCCCTTGGGAAGGGCAGGAGCGGTGAAGTCCCTGAGATGTGGGACTGCTCTGAATAGAGAAGTGCTCAGCACACAGCTCAGCCTTAGGAGGCTTCTTACAACTAACACACATAATAATATTTAGGATGTACATGTAAGAGACTGTTCCAAATAGTATTAATATGTCACTAGAGAAAAATTAGAGCCAGCAGCCTCTCAGAATCGTGATAGTCTAATTTTAGATATGCTAATGAACACTGTTTAATGTGAAGAACAAGTTGTTAACATGAAGAATAAATTCTAAACTTTTGCCTAAGTGATGAGTAATGACGAAACCTTATTTTTAAAAAACAAAAGCAAAATAGTGAGAGTCATTCATGGCGTCTCCCTCAAGGGACACGGCCAAATGGCAGAGCTGAGTTCCTAATCTGCCGTGTTTCTTCTGTCCATTTCATGCACTCCACGATTTTCTTTTTTCTTTTTTTTTTATTGTTTTTATGGAGCTATACATTTTTCTCTGCTCACCTCCCTCCCTCCTCCCCTTCTACCCGCTCCTGTGACACCCCCCATGCTTCCAATTTAATCAGGAGATCTTGTCTTTTTCACCTTCCTATGTAGATCCATGTATGTCTTCTCTTAGGGTCCTCTTTGTTGTCTAAGTTGTCTGGGGTTATAGAATGTAGGTTTTTTTTTTTCTTTGCTTTATGTCTAAAAGCCACTTATGAGTGAGTACATATTATGTTTGTCTTTCTGAGTCTGGGATACCTCATTCAATATGTTTTTTTTCCAGATCCATCCATTTGCATTCAAATTTCAAGATGTCATTATTTTTTTAACAGTGTGTAGCACTCTATTGTGTAAATGTACCACATTTTCTTTATCCATTCTTCGGTTGAGGGGCACCGAGGTTGTTTCCAATTTCTGGCTATGACAAATAATTCTGCTATGAACATAGTTGAGCACATGTCCTTGTTGATATAATTGAGCATTCTTTATTCAACAAATGGTGCTGGCATAACTGGATGTCAACATGAAGAATGAAAATAGATCCATATCTATCCCCATGCACAAAACTCAGTCCAAATGGATAAAAGATCTCAACATAAAAGCAACCACACTGAACCTCATAGAAGAAAAAGTGGGAAGTACACTTGAACGCATTGGCACAGGAGAACACTTCCTAAATATAACCCCAGTAGCACAGACACTGAAAGAAACAATTAATAAATGGGACCTCCTGAAACTGAGAAGCTTCTGTAAAGCAAAGGACACGGTCAACAAGACAAAATGGCAACCTACAGAATGGGAAAAGATCTTCACCAACTCCATGTCAGACAGGGGACTGATCTCCAAAATATCAAGAGAACTCAAAAAACTTGACATCAAAAGAACAAATAATCCAATTTTTTAAAAGTGGATTAGTACAAACCTAAACAGAGAACAGAAGAATCTAACATGGCTGAAAGACACTTAAGGAAATGCTGAACATCCTGTGCCATCAGAGAGATGCAAATCAAAACAACTCTGAGATTCCATCTTACACCTGTAAGAACAGCCAAGCTAAAAAAAAACGCTGATGATAGCTTATGCTGGAGAGGATGTGGGGTAAAGGGAACACTCCTGCATTGCTGGTGGGAGTGCAAACTGGTACAGCTGCTTTTGATATCAGTATGGTGATTTCTTAGAAAATTCGGAAACAACCTCCCTCAAGACCCAGCAATACCACTGTATATATACTCCACGGACTTTCAAGTGCCTTCCAGACACCAGAAGACTGGGGAAGAAGGAAGCATTTTGCAGGCAGGGTGGTTGATTAGGTTTCTACTCTGTACAGCCTACAGTTCAGAGGCTGGAATAGGAGGCTGGGGTGAACAGTGAGGATCTTCTCCAAAATCAGCACTTGACCTCGTCTGTAGGACATGAGTAGTCATCTATCATGGAGCTTCTTGCTCACTCCGAACACTTCTGGCATCTCCAGAGCATCCCAGATATCCTGGCAAGATGCTCACCAGTATCATCAGAGGTAGAAGAATAAGGACACAGAAGCTGTTCTCAGCTCCCCACCGAATGCAGGAAATTGACAAGTGCTGTGCTTCTTCTTGAGTGAAATTATTTCTGTGCTTAAGGAAACTGTGTTACACTGGTTTTCTAATGTATCAGACTTGCAAACACATTGGCTCTCCTTCGCACAGTCTGGATCATCTACCTCAAATCCTCATCAACTGGAGTCCGGTGAGGAGTGGTAATCGTTAAAAGACAAGATCTCCCTAGCTTCAGTCAGATACTCCAGACTCAGGCCAGCAAACTGCTTGACATCACTGGGCTCCAGCCACATGTTCCCAGGACACTCCGGCTTCAAGCCCAGAGTTTCCTAAAGGAAACTATTTCTGTTGTATTTTATCATTTGATCGGTTTTATTTTGTTTAATCTTAAAGTATACGAAGCCACAAAGGAATGATGCAGGTTCCTAGTCTGAAGAGTTTTGTTACTTCTTCACATTTATAGATCTATTCTTCCTCTGTTGTGTGTGTGTGTGTGTGTGTGTGTGAGAGAGAGAGAGAGAGAGACAAAAAGACAAAGAGGGACAGAGAGATTGGGGGTCAAGCCAGATGGAGGGTCCTGTTTCAGGGAGCGCTTTTCCCTTTCTCCTCCATCCTCCCGTTGCTCACAGGCCATCTGATGCAGAGGTTTGAGGGGGTGTTTTGAACATCTTTGCAGACATGCCTTCCAAACTTTGTTTTTCTTGTGTTCTTAGCTTTCCCGACATGATTCATTAGTATCTTAATTAGAAAATCATGTGCCTTGTTCTTTCTGTATTTTCCCCCTTTAGCTCTTGTCCCTAAGCAATTCCTATATTTGTAGGAAAGTGTAGACCACTACCAAGTGCAAATTCCTTGTTTCCTAATATGCTAATGAGAATAGATTTTCCTCTTTGTCAAGTCTGGTAAATTTTAAAAGTTGTATTATGAAGATAAATTGCTGCCGGTTCTAGTGAATACTCAGAAAGCTGCAAAATTGTGCTTGAGTTACAAAGTCTGACAGTGGGAAAATCAGTTTTTCCTCTGCTTCCAAACATGTGTTGATAAGCATTGTTTGCTCGTCTCACTGGGGAACATCGCAGGTGGCCCCGTCTTGAATGCCTCGCAGCGATAAAAGTGTGGCCATAAATGCTAGTCCAGAGAGACCAAGAACGGCATGAAAATTTTAATGTATTACCAAAAATTCTTACCGAGATCCTGTGTACAGTATTGAAACGATTCTTGACGCCCTCAATAAGGTTCAGACAGTTTATGATGACTCTACAGAGTACATTATAGAGTTCAAATTAACTGTCTCTAATGACGGTATGGTAGATCTCGGCATGTCTGAGTTTATGCATCGTTTGGCTGATAAATAATGACAGCTTCAAAACTGCTCATTAAGTTGGTGAACGATAGATTTTCTTGCTCTCTCTAAAGCATAATGGCGAACATAGTTCTTTGCTTTAGCTAAATGAATACCTTTATTTTAGGGGGAAAACATGTCCAAAACTGAGAAAATCTTAGTTACAGGATTCTAAAAGAAAGCCATTGAATGATAAGGATTACCGTACTCAGAGCCAGCCAGGCCACAGAGCTGTGCTCAGAGCCGGCCAGGCTGCAGAACTGTGTATAAAACTGGCCCTGCCGGGTGCCTGTGCTCAGAGCCGGCCCAGCTGGGCTTGATCAAACCCATGTCAGTTCCTTGAAAAGATGTCCAATGGCAGGCCCACATCAGCTTTGGTATACAAATTTGATTGAGAGAAGACAAGCCATAAAGAGGGGAAAACAGTTCAAAGGAGAAAATAGAAATGACTGGGCCAGAATAAACCATCCTAATCAACCTTGTGTGGGCTTTGCTGACACTCTGGCTTTCCACACAAAGGCCCCAGAAGTGGAATCTATGCACTAACTGTAAAGGAGAAAAGGATCTGATAGCTATTGAATAGCTATCCATGCCCAGCGTGTGCTGGGTGGATGCTGTTTAGCTACCTCACAAAATTCTTTTAAAGTAATATCTACATTGACCTCAAATTTTCCTTTTTTTCTGTTACAATAAAAAAAAAAAGTTTGTAGTATTGACTGTGGGCAGAGTCAGAAAATGTGACGAGGAACAGAGGCCATGTCTCAGGGAGGAGATAAATCACATAGATATAAAAAGACATGCCCACATATGCAACAGTGCTTGTGATACCTCCAATACATGGAGGAATATAAAGTCCCTTGGAGCTTGGAGCAGCAGTGTTACTATTTTATTTTCCATTGTTTGAGTTTCATACATCCTCATGATTAATTTCTGTCATTCTCACCCATACCCCATTCTTTCCTCACCTCCCCTCTCTCCCCCTTGCATCCTTCCTTCTTTTGTCAAATCTCCCGCCCCGCCCTTTCCCACCTTCCTGTTCTGCATGGCCAGTGAGTTTGGAGTTTCTTGCCTGAGGTTCTTCACTGGAGCAAGAGCAACACATCAGTGGCTACACCACTGAAGAAAACCCCAGCTCCCCCTCCAACCACAGTTGATTGCCCATAGTCCCTCAGAGGGGCCTCATGGGCCCCTTACCTGTGCGCGAGGAAATGGTGAGGGGCTCAAAAGTGTGCTAGCTTTGTGCGGATAAGCCCAGCTCATTGAGTTCACGAACGCGGTGGCCATGCCATGCCCAGAGACATCTTTTGTTATTGAAGGACAGACGAGTCAGAGGAAGACTGAGTGGTTGTGTTCCAGCAGAGATGTGGAAGATCAACGTTTCTGTAGAGAGTGACGTGGCTGCTGGAAGCAAGCGTGCAGCAGGAATATCAGCCTGGCTGGGACATCCTAAGGAAAAAAGGGGACAGTGGGAAATACAGAAGCAGAAGAAGCCAGGGCAGGGCGTGGAGGTCCATAAACCGAGGCAGGACCTCTGAATTGTGTTCTAACTGTAATGGGGAGCCATGAGAGGGATCCTGTGTCCGTAGAACTCTGCTTTCAGGAGATCACTGTGGCTGCTGTCTGAGGAAGAGACTACAGGAGAGCAAGAGTGGAAGCAACCCATACAGGCGTACCCAGCCAGTCAAGGCAGCTGTGAATGCAACACAGTACAAAAATCCTAAACTTCTTAAAACGTTCTGAAATTGGGGGCGGGAAGAAAATTATTGTTGCTGATGTTTGGTTTGGTTTGATTTGGTTTGGTTTAGGATTTTTTTTATGTGTGTGTAATTACATGAGGGCTCATGTGCACATGCGTGCAGAGGCCTGAAGTTAATGCTGCATGTCCTCCATTACTGTCCCCCTTGTTTACTGAAGCAGTTTCTCCCTGAACCCAGGATTCACCAATTATAGCTGGCCTTGCTAGCCAGCTGGCCCCGGGGTCCCCATCTGTGCTTCCCAGGCGCCGGGATTGCAGGCGATCGTCATACCTCCCTGGCGTTGCTGTAGGTTCTGGGGATCCAAAGCCTGATTTTCACCCTTGTGCAGCAAGTGCATTATCCAAGCCATTTCCTTGGCACCAAGTGCTGACAGCAGCGGTGGTTAATGTTTTTGTGGGGGTGGCAACTTGCTGGTGTCACTCTCCCGAGTGAAGTATGTGGATGGCGACATCACTTCGTAGTGTCAAAGGCTAGGACACTGCCAGGAGGCGATTTAGTGTCTTTCCCCGGTGCTCTCGGTGGTTTTCTGTTCAACAACAACAACAATACAGATCCTCAAGTGACTCTAATGTAGATCCAGGGTTGAGAACCAGTGGTTTAAATTTAAGAGAGTGAGGGGAGAAAAGCATGATTAAAAAGCTATTGCTCTTTCTCCAAAAACAAACAAATATTTTTACTGTTGTAGTTTTAACACTTATTTTAGGATTTCTTCATCTCCATCGTGGCAATGAACTTTTCAAACAGACCTCACTGTGCTGCTTCGAAACCGTCTGAGTGAGTTTGTCTCAGCGATGCTGCTTCTTAAGTTCTGTGTCTAGCTTCTCACTGTTTTCAGTTTTCACCTCTTCTCCTTACTCAATCGCAACCCTCTGTTCTTCCCGCAAAGGAACTCGGGAAATCCTGGGAAGAGGTGCAGCTGGAAGATGACGGCGAGCCGCTGGACCTCCCGGAAGAGTAAGGCTGCCGCTGCTGCTGGCTGTTACATGTTGAAGAACATGCAGACGGTTCTGTAATTCGGTCTATAATTATCATTCCAGAGAGAGAATAAAAAGACAGTCTCGTGAGCCATGCATGGCAAGATTTTTAAATTAACATAAATTTCACATAAAAATCACTAAAGCTATTTTTGAGAGACTTTGGCTTGGGTTTGGGTTTGTTTTTTACTTTCTGCTTTTTCATACAGAGAGCAGGACATACAAACACAGTAATTAGGTAAGAACACATGCATATTGTCAGCACCTTAGACAGAAACCTGCTGAAGATACGGTAACAGCGAAGCCAAAAAGCCTATTAAGGCTTTATATCATCGAAGGGAATTTGGATAAGGAAAATAAATTTGTACTTTTAGTGATATATGTACTAAAACAGTGTTTGCCAGTTTACGACCTGATCCCTCCAGCCGCCCCTCTGCCGTGGTACTGTGCGGTAGTGAGGCCGTGCTGCGGACAGGTTAGACAGCTTGTCTCAGGTCACAGTGAGACAGCGATGGCACCGAATGAGACTTCACACTCCATACGTTCTGTGACAGAGATTTCCAGTTGTCTCTCTGCACCGCCCATTCGCAACTCCCGCCTTAGCAATATGAACCTGAGCACCATCTGGGTGCTGTGTGCCACGTGAACAAAAGGCTCCCCCAGCCCGTCCTGCAGCTGGATGTGGCCATATAACTACACTTTGGTTGCAGGGATTTGAGTACATTCAAGTACATTGCAGGGTGCAGAAGTCAGAGCTGCAGCATGCACCACCCTCCTCGCTTCCCCCATCACTACAGTGTTAGTACCTAGTGAGAAGAAGAAGAGAAGGGTTCGTTTTGACTAATGATTTCATTGCGGCCATCATGGAGGCTGGGGCTCCGTCACTGCTAATGGGGGCCTGAAACCTAACTAGTCACATCTTCAGATGAGAAGCAGAGGCCTTGGGCCACATCCTCTCCCTGCCTCCATGCCCCTAAGTTGACTAGCTAGGCCCCAAATCTAAATGATCCCACAACTCCCAAACAGCTTGACCAAAGGGGTTGTGCACTGCCCCATGGGTGCTGGGAACCAGACTCAAGTTGTCTGTAAAGGCAGGGCTTGTTCTCAACCCCTCAGCCCACTATTTACTGGTTTTCAGTCCAAAATTGAGTTTTCAAAATAATAGCAGTGCTAGATTTCTAATGTTCCATGAGAAAATGTTCCGATTTAAATGTGTATTTCCTTATCTTCACAATCTGGCAGTTTTTCTGGTCGGAGATCTGGTTGGCAATTGGCTTATCTGTGTGGGGGCACGTGTTTGCAGCTGGTTACACCTGTGAGAGGCCTTGGAGGTCGGATAGGGCACTGGGTGGCCTCCTCTATTACTCAGGGAGATCTCTCCCTGAACCGGGCCTTGTGTTTTCTAGACTAGACTGAAATCCAGCAAGCTCGGGTGCCCCTCCTGTCTATACCTTCCGCAAAGGTGGGGTTACAGGTGTATGTGAGAACCCTGTCTGTTTCATGGGTCCTGGGACCCAAACTCTAGTCCCCGTGATTGTTAATCAAGCCCTCAGTCTCTGAGCCATCTCTCCAGCCCATATGCCCTTTGGGTCATCATTCTATGACATACAATGTAGCATTTGCCCCATTTGAAATAATCTGTGATTCCCTGAAATACATGTGTAGCCTTCACCCACACCAATTCCATTCTCCAATCACGGTTCAGAGAGTGCAGATGGAGAAAGTGGGGCGGCGCCTACCCGCGCCTACTCTTTCTAAGTCACCTTTTGATGTGCTTGGAATTTTAGCCGCTGCCTCTGAAGGTCATGACCGTGTGTGACAGTCTTTACCAAAGTGTCAGACTCAGGGACACCAGCACAACTGCTGTGTGGTGCAGCCTTCTGTGGAAAAGATCACCATGTTTTCTGTCCTCTGTTTTTAACCCAGTGACTGGTCTGACTGGCAAGAATACCCTGTCTGCGCTGTCTGTCTCTTTTGTGAAAAGCAAGAAGAAACGATAGATCAATTGTACGTGCACATGAAGGTGAGATGCTCTCGTCTCCTTGCTTTTGTTTCATTCTGACACTGAAGCTGGTGATCTCTGGACCCTCATTTACTCGGTGTGACGATTTATGTTGATTGTCAGGACCTAGGCACCCCTAGCAGGAGCCTCCGGGCATGCTTGAGGGCCTTTCCTGCTTAGGTCCACTTGGGGAGCACACCTACCCTAACTGTGGACATCTCCGCGCTCCGTGGACTGGGTCCCAGACTCAGGACAAGAGACCTGAGCAGCGCTGTATTTCAGCTTCTGCCTCGTCCTTTCTCCCTGAAGGTTTACTGTTTTGTTTTTGTCAAGGCGTGTTAATGTCACCATGGAGACAGGCAGGACACTAAAGCACACATCCTCCAGTCATATTCCATTCCTGAGCGTGCCCTGGAGAGACAGCAGGCACAGGCTAGGTCCATCCAGGAGCACAAGCATGGGCAGTACCAGAGACTACTAACTTGGGCTCTCATGGGCCTCTGCTCCCACCTTTGAGGTGCTCACCTGGTCATTCTAGCTCCGAGGTTGAGAACTGCGCACAGCAATTGCAATACCCAGTAGTGGCTTCTGGGGCTTTTCTTCTGGCTTTCTTTGCTGTTGAATAGGATGGAAAGAACAGAGGACTTGCTACTCACAAAGGCCAAGAGTGGAACTGGACATAATTTGGGTTTAGAGTCACTTCGGGAACCAGAAATTAGAAAGAAGAAACAAAGGCGCATTCCTGGTCTGTTTGCCCTCTGGGTATCATGTTTATATTAAGGTGAAGCTTGACACTAGTAATTCTGAACCTTATTTTCTCAACGTACCCCCAAGATACTCCCTGTTTGTGACTGTGACCCTTAGCTGAATGCTGGGGTGAAGAAAGTATATAATGATGCATGAGAGTATCACAACTTGGGACTAATAATAACAGGATATCTGAGGAGTTCTGACGCTCTCTCGCTGCCTGCTCAGCTCACTGCCTGTGGTTGACACCTCTTCTTCACTCTCTATGGTGCCTCCTCATTTAGAAACACTGTGCTTAGTTGAACAAAACAAGGACCTGGACAAAACTAGGAAGAGGAATGTTTGTCTATAATAAGTTAGGAGTTATTATAGCTATAATACCACCAGGGAAGAGATATGTAGATCTATAGATAGATCACCATGTAGGAGTGACCTCTTTGGTATTCCCATAGATGTCATTGATCCTGTTAGTCACTCTGGGTGGTAGCATGTCGTGAATTCCATGCGTCCTGCGTCCAGTGGTACTGCAGCAAATGCTGCCACAGTGAACTGGATTTTTTTTTCTGTGTGCTTGTAACCTTGAGCATTTACACAGACAGCTGGAGAAAGGGGACAAGCATAACACAGCCAGTCTCTATGCTGCGGCGGTAATAAGGAAGCAAGGTTGGTGACAAGATGGAAGTGAAGCTGACATGCATGGAACATCACTTGCTTTTGATTCTCTAACACCTGGTTCTGGAATCATGGTCCAGATGCCCTGTGTACACCAGGACACCTTAGCACACGCTTTCATCAGCCTGCCTGTTTCAGACCTGGTAAAATAAAAGCCACATCAATAAGCTGTAACTAATTAAAATGTTTAGCTGATTTGTGTGACGTCTGTGGATTGCACTGTAAAGAACTGCTGACCACGAAGAGAAGCAGTGAGAATCAGAAGATTTCTAAAGCAGACAGACGATGATGAACTCAGACTACTCATAACAAACTCAAGCCCCTGTGAATCAGATGTCTGTTTATAACTTCAGCCTGAAAGATTAAATAATTCATATGCTTACAAATATATTCCTCTTTTTTAGGACACACATGGGTTTGATCTCCTCAGAATAAAGTCAGAGCTCGGTAAGTTCGGTTGAGAAGTTTTCCGTGATGCTGCACTCTTGTGAACTGTCCTGTAAATGGCGCCCGTGTCTTGTCAAATGTCTGTCTCTGTGCAGGCACTCGTACGAGAACTCGCTGAAGCAATGATTCTTGACCCTCTTGAATTCTAATCTCCAAAGATTTGTTTTTAATTTTACATACTTTCTTCTGCTCTCCCACATATATGGGTGCTTTAATAAAATACAAGAAGAAGCTAGCAGGAAGAGCCTGGGTTGCTTGGGGCTTGGGATTTTAATTATAATTTATTTGTTTTATTTCTGAGCCAAGACTTCATTCATTCATTATGCAGCTCTGGCTGCATGTAAATTGGGGCTGGCTTCAAACACAAATCAAAGGTGTGTGCCACCACACCCGGATAAGAGCTCAGCTCCTGAAAGTCAGCCTACAGTAGTGTTCCAACCCTAGCACTTACAGTTTATATGACACGAGACCTCAGGCAGGAAATACAGAACCATATGTACAAAAATGTGCACTGCAGTGCTTAGCAGAATAGCTGCCATTAGTCGGTACAGATGTGACCAATTATACTGCTCTCGGGGTGACTGCCGTGGAAGGATCAGATGTTGAGACATAAATTACGCATTTCCTACTGGGCTTAATATATCCAGTACACTGGCTACTTTGCTGAACTCCTGGACGTGTGCCTTTGCTTTGCCGCTCTTGTAGACATGCATATATGTTGCACACGCAGTTGGTTTGCCAGTGAAGACAGTTGGCTGGAACCCCTGCCTGCTGTGAGACCATGCCTCCACCATTTCCCAGCTGCAAGATCATGAACGGGTTCCTAATGAGGAACACTGATGTAATGATTCCGCCTATGTGATGATGGTTTGGAAGTTCAAATGTATTAAGATATGGAGCGTGGTTAGCTTAGTGCACAGCCTGTAAGCCCTATATTGGCTAATTAGGGTAGTATCTCCTATAAGAATTGTAGCAATAGAAAGGAAATAAGTAAATGACAGTGCAGATATAATGCTGAAGGTTGTCTAATGATTTCCAGGATTAAATTTCTATCAGCAAGTGAAGCTGGTCAACTTCATCCGAAGGCAAGTTCACCAGTGCAGATGCTACGGTTGCCATGTGAAGTTCAGATCCAAGACAGAGTTGAGGACCCACATGGAAGAAGCCAAGCACGCCTCCCTACTTCCTGACAGGAAGACGTGGGATCAACTGGAGTAAGTCTTGCTGAGCTGGACGCGGACCCCTGTGCCCTGTCCTTCCGGTTGTGTCCCTTTGCCTAACTTCTTTAAACTCTGAAACACATGTGAAACCACCTAGAAGGTGTGAGTTTGTAAAGTTTATATAACTTAGAAAGACATAATCATTATTTTGGAATTTAGTTGGGTAGTCATGTACAGCTATAGTTCAGTATCAAAGTAGATACAGACTTTTAAATTATATTTTATTAACAAAATATTCCAAGCACCTTTCCCTATCTGATGCTCATCTGTCCATCTTTTTTAATGACTGCCAGATATCCCATCAAATAGTATATCCTAACTTGTTAGGTTGTTTCTTACCTTTTGCTATTTATTATAAGTAATAATAAAATAAATAATTGTATGCCTGTATCTGTGCACTTACCTAATTATACCATTTAGATAAAAATTGCTATGTCAATGACATGTGCATCATGGAGCTTCTGGTGTACAGATTCCATATTGGTTGGCACTTTAAAACCTGTGATGTGAACCTATTGAAATAAGTGCTGTCAAATTTCCCAAGTCTAACCTTCTATGATTGTTCTCACATCGTTCTTAACATCAGTGGAGGGAGTGGGATGCTAGCTCCCTAAACATTTCACCATCCTCAGAGGATATTAAACTAGGCCTCCACAGAACTCTAGCCAAATCACCATAGTTTTCCTGGTTTGTAAAACTTTCAGTTTATGAGAGCCAGAGTCAGCCGTCTGTTGAACTGGCACCATGTTCTTCATTCTTACACAGACTAACAATGAAGGAACCAGTCATCACTATACTTTTGTTGGGTGTTTAAAAAGTTTACTTTTAGAAAAAAAAAATAGCCATTTTTAGCTTAGCTAGTGTTTGGGAAGGAGCCGGGACGTTAAGGAAATAAAGATGCTGTTTTTAGCTGTAGCAGAGCGGTCTGGTACTGGAGCGGGTTGCCTGCACTGATGATGGTTCTTACCATGATAGACACTGAGCTGAGTGGCCACTAGAAAGGCCGGAATCAGGCTCAGGTCAGACAGGAGGGGTCAGGGGAAAGCAACTGGGCTGTCTCCCAGCACCGCGTTTGCAGCTGTGACAATGTCAGTAAGGGGGCGAGCCAAAGCTGTCACGGGACATGCCAAAGCTGTCACGGTGTGCACTCAGCACTTAGACAACTTCTGGGAACTTTGCTCATTGGTTATTCGGTGTGTCTCTGGTTGCTTTCAGATATTATTTCCCCACCTATGAGAATGACACTCTCCTGTGTACACTGTCTGACAGTGAAGGTGACCTCACCACTCAAGAGCGCAACGAAGATGTCCCTGTCATCAGTGAAGACACATCCAAGCTGCGTGCTTTGAAGCGAAGCAGTGTTTTGAACCAACTGCTCCACCAGGAATGCCTGGAAAACTAGAGAACCTGCTGCAGACTCGGGCTGTGTGCTTCTCTCCTGAGGCAGATGGGAAGGAAGAGCTCAGATCTGATTACCAGCAAAGCACCGCTCGCTGGTGAAATCATGTTTGTCTTAATGAAGCTTTCCTCAAGAAGTAAAAAGCAAAAATAAAATGTGGCTTTTTTTTATTTCGACTGGGAAATTGTGTTATGGTTATCTTAAATGACTTTGTTTTTAAACTCGTGGTTATGTACAGTACGGAAAACATGAAAGTCACAGACATTCAAATGGTAGCCCTAATTCTAACCAGCTGTTTTAGTCTTCCCACGGGCCTCTCACCTCACAAGTCACACATTTCAGTGTGATTTCTGTACTAAATTGGTAACTGATGGATGTAACGATTCAAAGAAGACCCACAGAAGCAAAGGAAGATGGTCAGAGATCTAAACAGTGTACAAATTAGACCACTGAAAAATAATCCAAACCGACTGGATTACTGTGTTAATTTTTCCTGGGTTACAACCCCATAGAAATGGATACAGTGTAATAAAGCTCACTCTTCCCCAAAACATATATGTACTTGTGTATGTGTGTTCCCTACTACATGTTCTAACATCAATAGTAACAATGATAGGTACCATTGTCCAGGAACGTAATTGCAGTGGTATTACAACACCTGGTAAAGTTAAAAAGAACTTTTCATTTCTAGTTTTCCAAGGTAGACTCAAAGATGTCTTCTCATAATAGTCCAGGCTGGGAGACAGGTAATATGACCTCCACTAAGATGTACTCGGGTCCCCCTGTAGCCACCTCCCCATGGATGATGGGCTTACAAACATGGGACAGCGTGCCCTCATGCACACACAGCAAGCACTTCGCCGTCAGAGCACTCTCTCCAGCCCACATTACCTCCCTTTAAATGCCATTGTCTGCTGAACTGGATCCTTGGTCTCCATTTCTGAATGGAGACACTTTAATCTGTAGGATTTGGCATGTTCTATCACTCATTTGTCCTGTTATTTTTAGATCTAAAGACATCATTAAATTTGGATCCAAAAAGAGTTTGCAAGGAAGTACTGAGTGCCTCCTACTGTGTTCCATCAGGCACACTATAGTGTGTGCCATTAGTAAAGAAGTCAAAATTGTTCAGGGACAACATGGTGAGTGCTGATAGAGTAACTGCTCCAGGAGACCGAGGCCAGCCTGGGCACACGGTGAGACCGCATTCCATTCCTCCCTCACAAAAAAAAAAGAAAGAAAAAGAAAGGAAGGAAGGAAGGAAAGAAAGAAAAGAAGAAAAAGGAAAACTGTTCTATGCCTCCAGCTCTCACTGCCTGATACATCATCCAGTTCCCCTTCTATGTTCCAGCTATCCTTTGGAGTGTCCTTAGTAATTTTAGCCTAAATATGTCCTTTAGAGGTAATGCAGTAGTTTCCTAATTCTGTTCTTTCTTTATAAGTGAGACCCATTCATACCAAGTATGTGATACAACACTGGGTCCTGGATTCAAGGCTTCCATGGTTAATGCCAGCCTTGCGCCAGCCTGTTGTCTAGATATGTGATCACATCTGCTCCGACTCCATCTTTAGATGCCCACACATCAAGCTCTGCAGAGAGATATCCATGCGGGCTTTTCATGAGAAGCCAGCAAACGAAGACGTGGGTGCCCTTATTAAGAAAAGCCTAAGTAAGACAAGTTAAACTGTTCTGAAACAAAGGTTAAAAAAACAAATGTTCTCCTGATCCCAGAACACGGTCTCCAGCAAACAGATTGGCTGGGAAATTAACATGTCTGGAGTGTTCCCTAGAAGGCTCTAGAACAGGAGCAAATGGATACAAGTTAAGAGCTGAGCCAAGGACAGAGAGCCTAAGAAGGGGAGAGCTTTGGGAGTGAGAAAGGTGATGCCTTGGAAATCGGGTGTCAACGGGGAAATGAAGCTGCAAAAAAGGCGGCATGAAGGGGAAGGAGGGCTTGGGTTGAAGCCAGAAGACGGTACTTCAGGGGTGGACAAGTCTAAGGGTCAAAGGAGTAACTTAGACCCAATCAAATCTAATCACAGATGCAAAATCCCAGCAAATCACAGTGACTCTGAGGTACTAAGAATGCAGGCTAAGACTCTTTGGTAATTGGAGAACTTTGTAGAAGTGGACAGACAGCGGGGTGTGGAGGCACATCTACACTCCTAGCACTTGGGAGGTTGAGGCAGGAGGATCACAAATTTATGGATAGCCTGACCACATAACAAGACTCTGTCAAAAGCCAGAGACACTGGGGAGATGGTTCAGTTGTAAAGAACACTTGCTGCTCTAGAGAAGGACCCGAATTCTGTTCCCAGCAGAGTTGGCAGCTGTCAAGACCTAGTGCTGCTGTGCCTGTCGGAAACATACCTGAGAAAGTTCTGGAATTAAGACTCAAAATGAAGACAAGAAAGGTAAGAAATAACAAAAAGAAACCAGGAAGGGCAGTGATGAAATCTGACCAAGATTAGAATATACAGAGAGAAGAAACTATTCATGTAGGAGTGTGGGAAGCATGCACGATTAGCAAACGGCACTGTCCTGGGAGATGACCTCTTGCTTGGAAGGATGACCTCACCCATGTGCAGCACTGGAATTAATGGTTAAGCCTAGTGCACAGATATCAGAGATGAAGAGTGTTGGAAAGAAGACAGACTCCTTTTAGTGAGAAAGAAAAACCCATTACTTACCATGGTTGCTTTGTCTGCCTTTTTCTCTCTCCTACAAGAGAGACATATATTTTCTAACTGTGAACTTGGATACCAGAAGCCAGGTACCTGTACCTTAGCCCTTTCTTCCTTCTCCTGTGGCCTGCCTTTCTACAGAGAGAACACCCCTTGTTCTGTGCCTGCATTCAAATGGTAGAGTGGGGGCTTTAATTAACATTGTCTGTGATTGTGGGGGGTCCAACATAAGGGGCTTCATTTGCTCACAGCTGGAAGCCATTTTCTCCACTATCATCTTAATTTGCAATAAATGTAATGTTTCATCTGCCTCTGCTTGACCATATCAGCACCCTTCCACATAGCACTAAGACTGGGCAGTGAAGCCTTAGAATTGGTGGCGGGGACAATGCTGGTGAATGAAATGGACATGAACCCTTGGAAAGAATAACAGCACCAGTCTTAGGCTCACTTCATCAGAAGCTGACCTTGAAATAAAAATCTACGCAACAGCTGTTTATATAGGAGACAGCCAGAGGAAATACTCACCTGGGGGGTGCCCATTTGGGGGGTGGAGACCTAGGCAATGGAAGATTACTGCTTTGGAAACTGACGCTCAACCTCACTGAGGCCCTGAGGGAGAATGAACACCATTTAGATTTCACCCACGGCTACCACCAAAGAGTAAAAAAGGACTACCACCAATTCTCTGATCTTGAGCCCAGGAGTACCGTGTCCCCAGCACCTCTAGTGGGCTTTGCACATGGTCTAATGTGGAGGTTGTAGGAAGTCCCCTTACAGGCAGGAAGCTGTAATGAAAGAAAATGATGTGTAGGACCAGATTTCACCACAAACACTGCATACCTCAGAAAAGAGCTCAGCCGCTCCATCTTCTTCCTGTTACCTCACTTGTCAGCTTGGAACACAATACTGTGAGACACCGAACTAGTGTTCTATATATGGGTGTGTTTGCTTGCACATGTGCGCATGTACATGTACATACACGTGTATGTGGGTGGGTGTGCCCACAGGAACCAGAGAAGAGCATCAGGTGTCTCTTTCTATCACCCTCACCATACTGCCTTGAGGCAGGGCCTCTCACTGAACCTAGAGATGACAGCCAGTAAAGCCCTGTGTCCCTGTCGCCTCCACGTCTACACAGTGCTGGGATTACAGGTGCAGGACAAGGATTTCACACGGGTGTTGGGATTCAGATTCAGGTCCTCAAACTTGCCTAGCAAGCCCCCTTATCCATTAAGCCCTCTCTCTGCAACTCTAAACTGGAACTAAGATAAAATTAACTAGATGAAAACTTGCTCAAAAGAAAGAAGGTCCAAAAAAAAAAAAAAAGCAATGAGTAATATATGGAAATTTAAAATGAGACTAAACCAAGACCTGAAAATTTTATTTTATTTTTTGGTTTTTTGAGACAGGGTTTCTCTGTGTAGCTTTAAAGTCTATCCTGGCACTAGCTCTTGTAGATCAGGCTAGCCTCGGACCTGAGAATTTTAAATGAATGAAAGAAAGCAATTTTAAAATTTATTTTTATTTTACAAGCATTGGTGTTTTGCATGAGTGTCCTGACCCATGGACCCAGAGTTACAGACACTTGTGAGCTGCCATATGAGTGCTGGGAATTGAACCCAGGGCCTCTGGAAGAGCAGGCGGTGCTCTTAATGACTCAGTCATCTATCCACCCCACAAGAAAGCAATTTTTAAAGAAGAAAATAGAACTTAGAATAAGAACAAAATTTTTATTGATTTTCATTGAGCTCTACATTTTTCTCTGCTCCCCTCTCTGCCTCTCCCTTCCCCTTCAGCCCTCTCCCATGGTCCCCATGCTCCCAATTTACTCAGGAGATCTTGTCTTTTTCTACTTCCCATGTAGATTAGATCCATGTATGTCTCTCTTAGGGTCCTCATTGTTGTCTAGGTTCTCTGGAATTGTGGTTTGTAGGCTGGGTTTTCTTTGCTTTATGATTAAAAGCCACTTATGTGTGAGGACATATGATAATTGTATTTCTGGGTTTGGGTTACCTCACTCAAAATGATGAAAAGCAAAATTTTTTAACGTAACTGCTTTGTTGATTTTTTTATACAGAATTAACATACCAGTCGACTTCCATCAAAGGCACTGAATTAAAGCAATTGTTGCTTAAACTGCAAAAATAGACACCTAATATCCTAGAAGCTTAATTCAACTCTTTCAGTGAGCTTTAGATGAAAAATAACTAGAAAATTAACCCTGGGCGTCTGTTGAACTTTTATACCTATAATTGATATTTTGAAAAACTAAAACATGTTCAGTCCCTGATTTTGGCAATTTGCAAAATAGAATGTAACGGCAAGTCTGTTAATTCAATCTAAAAACATTTCACAGAGTTTGTCATTTCAGAGTGGTCTGAAACAGGTAAAACTGTGTTCTCTGAGGTATTTAGAATTAGACTGGAGAAAAGAAAGAGTTTTGAAAATATTCTCAGTCGATTAACTTGGATGCAGAGTAGTTAAAACTATCTTCATCTGAAAAAAAAAAAAAAAAGAACAGCAGTGTGCTGTGTGACGGATGAAAGGAAAAGCACCCTAGTTTTCTGAGAAACCGCCACACTGACTTCCATAGTGACTGGACAAGTTTCCCCTCCCACCAGCAGTGGAGGAGTGTTCTTCTTACTCCATGTCCTCTCCAGCATGAGCTGTCACTTGTGTTTTTGATCTTAGCCATTCTGACAAGTGTAAGATGGAATCTCAGAGTCGTTTTGATTTGTATTTCCCCATGGCTAAGGATGCTGAATATTTCCTTAAGTGTTTCTCGGTCATTTAACATCTTGTGTTGAAAAGTCTGTTTAGATCTGTACCCCATTTTTTAATTGAATTATTTGGTTTGTTGATGTCTA